TTATCAGTGACCAACAGATGTGTTTCAAAACATTCCACTATGATTATAGAAGTGGTTATTCCTCTTTTTAGTTCTTACAGTGTGTGAGGCTTCATATTAAGCTCATTTGAATTTAGGGCTGTTACATTCCTGTTGAATTGACCTTTTCATAATTACAAAATGTTACTCTGTATGTTTAATCTTCTGATCTTAATGTCTATTTGATCTGTTAGTAGACCTATACCTACTTTTCAAGATACCTATTTATTTTTTAATGTTTTTATGGGTACGTTTTCCAACCTCTTTTAAGCTTTCTGTGTTTTTATGTCTCTTGTAAGCAACATGCATTTTTAAAAATCCAGAGTAATCCTCTGTTTTAATTGGAAGATTTAGTCCACTTCAGCTTGTGGCTCTTGTAAGTTGCAGTGAGTGTTTGTATACAAGACTTTTTATGGGTATGTGCTTTTTCATGGGGTAAACATCTACAAGTGAAATTGGTCATGAGGTTGGTGTATAATTCTATTGGCTTTAATTAATGCCATTGAAGTATAACATATATACAATGAAATAGCTTTAAAGGGTACAGTTGGAGAATTTCGACAAATGTGAGCGCAGCAGAGAATTCCTTCTGTGACAACAGCGAGTGGTCAGCTCTGACTACCCCCCGCCCCCCACCATTGCGATTCCTCGCGAGTGCCTCTCACCGCCACCCTGGCACCCAGGCCCAGCTGACCCGCGCTGTGCATTGCCCATGACGAACCCTTCCCCCAGGCCCCACCACGCTGGGGGCTCCATGTGGACAGAGACGGTGCTGGCTCCGATCTCCAGAGCAATCTCTCTGTCCCTTGTGCCCCCAGCTCACCCATGTGGTCAGAAGGCCGTGGAGTAGACGAGTGCGCATGTGCAAAGCGCAGCGCTGCTGGGAGTCGGGAGGGAACAGAATCCCTTGGGCCTCCAGGTGGAGCCGCGCCCAAGGCAGCTGGGAGGGAGTGCGGCGGCGGTCCGACTCTGGCGCTGGGAGAAAAATCTCTGAATGGTAGGTTCGCCAGGTCCCTCATGGCCTGCAGGACGAGGGTGGGAGGAGAGAAGTGACGGTGAGTGACATTTATATAAAGTAGTGCAGCTTACATAGCTCTTGCCTGTGCATTACCTCACTTAACGCAGAAGGAGCACAGGGTGGGGTTTCAGCCTGTGGCCCCGCTGTTTGCGGCGGAGTGTGTCCTGGCCCCACCCCCAGACTGTGTGACCCCGGAATATTATGCTCCCGGGTCCCAATTTCCTAACATGGGCCACGAAGACACGGATAGTACCTGACGCGTAGATGTGCTGTGATGATTAAATAAGGTAGGTGACACTCGTAAAACACTCAGAATCGTGCCTGGAGCATAGTAAACACTAAATAAAAGTTGGCTGTTATTACTTAATCCTCCCAATAGGGCCCTGGAGAGGTTGTAGGCATGCCTCGTTTTACGAGCCGCAGGCAGGGGCTCAGAAGCGTGGAGTGACCTGCCTGAGGTCATAGTGGCGATGTGGGGGTGGGGAGGCAGGGCGTGGACCGGGCCTGTTTTACCCCAGAGGCCTGTCCTTGCCGCTCCCCTTCGTGCCACCTGCGCTGACCTGCACTGTGCCTGGACTCACAGGCAGGAGAAGTAAATTCTGCCGCAGCTGGCGTGCACCGGGTGTTAGAAAAGATCACGTTCTTTGTCTGGGTGAGCTAAGATCACAGGAGGTGGGGCAGCTAAGAAGGCACCTTGTGCCCCACCGGAGTCCGAGGGCATTCTAAAGGGCTGTTGTTGCTGCATTAATAGAACACTCTACTTAGGCTGGTGTGGCTCAGTGGATTGAGCGCTGGCCTGGGAACCCAAAGGTTGCTGGTTTGATTCCCCAGGCAGGGCACATGTCTGGTTTGAGGACCAGATCCCCAATTAGGAGCACAGGAGATACAACTGATCTCTCTTCCTCCCTTCCCCTTTCTAAAAAAATATAATCTTGGGGGGGGGGGGGCAGAAACAACACAGGAAGATAATTAAAAAAAAAAAAAAAGCACTCAACATTTTCTTTTCTAGCACCTGTTTCCCCAGTTCTGGAAACAGCACCCTGGCTTCCCTTAGAACCGCCCCGCCTACTCAGTTTGTGTTTAGGGTCATCCCTGGCCGGAGGATCGGGCGAGCGAGCGCTCCCATGTGAGCAGTGGGTCCTTCCGGCTGTGAGGGTTAGCTCAGAAATGGACATGTGATCTGACCCGAGAGCCACCAGGCTCCCCCGCAGGACTTGCATCAGGGAAGAGATTGCTACCTTCTTCTGGGGAGGCTGAGAGCCTGTGACCTAGTCTGGAGCTCCCGAAGCCATCCTGCCACCGCAGTGGGGACAGCCCGCCTGAGAATGGGGCCAGCCCAGCCGCAAGCAGAGCCGGGAGGTGCAGAGAGTGAGGCACAGCCCGGTGTCCCCTGGATTTAACTGGGCCTGAGTCAGTCCAGGTCCACCTGGACTTTTCTGTTCTGCTCACTCTTGTGTCTTCCAGCTTTCTCAGCGCTGCACTTCCCCATCATTGCGTCCTCTTGGTATCCCAGCAGCCACTCAGAGGACAAGGCAGCAGCACCATTTGACAGAGGGGAGCACAGAGTCTCAGAAGGACGAAGTGTTTTGGCCGAAGCACACAGATGACTCAGGTCCTTTCTGCTGAGAGCTCCCTCTGCTCAGGAGGCTGTGGCAGTACCTAGATAAAGCTGTGGCCTTCTCTCTCCCCCTGCCCTCAGGCGGGGATGCATTTCCTCTTGGAAAGGCCACAGGGAGGGGGCGGGGACCCGGATAGACGGCTTTGGCTCCATCCCTCCCTACTCTCCATTGCCCTTCTGACAGCCAATTTGAACCAAATTGGATTTAGTGCATTTCACAATTTTTGTTGAACAAGTTTGCGGATTAAAGGAACAAATTAAACCCACATTTTTATTTGACATCATCAGAAATATGACATGCAGACTGGAAATGGACGTTTCTGGTCTTGGAATAATTTCAGTGGAGCCCAAGCCCCTGCTTCTCAAGGGCATGTTTTTAAAAACCTGATTCTCACGAAGACCTTTGGGGAGCCCGGTCCAGATCTGACGGAGACCTGGGTTTAGGCTGGGCCGCGGCGCCCGCAGCCGAGATGCGATTCTGGCAGGAGGCGCCCTTCTCTGCACCCGCCCATCGCTCCCCTGTCTCCGGTGTTTCCCACAGTCTCCCCTGCCCGTAGCTCAGTGTAAGTCCCAGCATTTTTCTATAACGAACTAACAGATTTCCGCATTGGTGCCACCTTAAGTCCCCATCTCTGCCCTGAACTCTCAGATGGGCCAATAAATATACAGCTTATTTGGCAATTAGTTAGGGACCTTTGGCGCTTCACCCCGTGGCTTCTAAAACAACGCAGATATTTCATTTTCCTGTTTGTTTCTTGGCTTCCTGGCAGAAAGACAAGCTATATGTGGGCAGGGAATATGACTTCTCTGTGTACCTGGTACGTAGGCGCAGGCACTGAATATTTATTGACTTATGAATTCAATGGCCATATGATCACTTAACAATGAAACGAGGACTTTTTGAGAGAGAGAAGACGTTATCCTGGCTGCGCTTTATGGAGGGGAGGCTGTAATGCCTGCTGGTTCAGTGTGAGGACTTTGATGCCAAACAGCCTGGGTTTGAATCCTGGCTCCCTGCTTTTTGATCATATGATCTTAAGACAACAATGCAGTCTCTCCATACCTCAGTTTCCCCCTCCATACCCTGGAAATGACTTGGTACCCTTGACCAAGTCCCAAAACCAGGAACACAGGAAGTAGTCTCTAAACACCAGCTGTCAGAGTTTTATGGTTTCTTCCCAATAACCCTTATATTTTTAAGAAATACATATGGCTAATACACAGATGGACTTTACCAAATCCAAGTTTTGTCTAGATTATCACATTCTTATCTTTAAAACATATATTGTCTGAATGATTATGGTTCTCCCCCCACTATATCGGTTGAAGGGGCAGAAAAGACCCTGACCGCAAAGAGCAGAACAAGCGAGTAGAATGCGGAATGAACCAGTGTTAACAGGAGAGCCCAAGGGAGCATTGGGCAAGGCTGCCAAACAGATCTATTGAGTAAAAGAGAGGTCGGGGAGAAAAGCATCAATTCAAATTAATTAAAAGTTTTCATTGTTTGTGATGCCGACCTCATGCTCTAGGTGCCTGAAACAACAGAGGGAAACGTGGGTAACCAGCGGTCATGACGTTTCCCCACTGGCCGCTTGCCTCTTCACACGCCCAGGCCTGCCTCTTCCTCTCGCCCCCGTGGGCTGCCGGGCTCCGGCCCTGGGCCTCTCCCTGGGACAAGAGGAGGCCTGGGGGCCCGGGGGCCCGGGCACGGCTCTGCAGCCCCTTCTCGTCCACCGGCTCGCCCAGCAGCGCCCTGCTGACCACTCTGAGCCCACGCCCGGACTCTCTGCCCTTCTGCCCTCCGGCCAGCCTCTGCTTCCTCCGGAAAGCCGCAGCGGGGTCCCCCGGCTCCACGCTGAGACTCACCCTTCCCCCAAAGCACCTGGTCTTGACGTTTCTCCACCCTTGTCCCCCAGGGGCTGGTACATACGTGGCCCAACCCATTTCTCCTGACGGAAAGGAACCTTCTGAAGCGACAGACGGTTCTCTCCCAGATGGAAAGCCCCTCTGTTGATAGGAGGGTGGACCCCAGAACAGGTCAGTAGGCAGCTTTTTGCTCACCTCATTCAGATGATAACAGGTTTCTGAGTTCTCAAGTGTAGCCAGACTCTTCTTAACTGTGGCGTTTGTATTTTTCACACCCAGGAAGGGAAGGCAGAGAGTGAGGCGGTGCCCAAGAGGCTGGCCCGCTCTCCTGCGGGGTCGCTGGGGGCCCCGCCTCACCTGCCTCACCCTCCGCAGCGTAATCAGCCTTGGGAAGTCCGTCTCCCACAGTTCCCCTTCTGTGACGTGACTCTTGGGGCTCCCCAGGTGCACGTATTGCCATGTTCCACGTCCCTGACCGCCTTAGGGAGTGTCAATGAGTTCCTTGTCAGGGGGTGACCCAGGCTGCTGCCAGCGTGTGGTAGCTCCCTTCTCCCTCCTGCCACAGCTGACTGGGCCAGGGGCGGCCACCACCCACCCCGGCCCCAGCGTCTCCCACTCCCCAAACTGGCTGGCTTTGAGCCTGGCTCGGCCCAGGAAGTTCCTGTCAATGAGGTGGGCCCATCCCATCCCACCCACTCCCTGCAGGTTGACCTGGGAAATGCGGACAGAGTCACATGGTCAGTAGAAGTGGAAGGTCCCCAGGAGCCGATGAGTTCCGGGCACTCAGAGGTAGAAGTGCTGAGCTGAGGAAGGGCTACTTAGAGAGGAGGGCGAGGAAGATGCTGGAAGCAGGGAGAAGCGGGCAGGCGCACAAAGGGAAGCGGAGGCCACAGAGTGACCCAGTCAAGGGAACGTAGGGGCGCCAAGGGCAGCTCCCAGGCTTTTCCAGCGGAGCCTCCCAGAGCACCTGGGGTGCCTTGGACCCTCAGGGAACTTCCCGCTCCGGCCCCCACCGCCCCGGGTCAGCGCGCACCCGCGGTGGCCGTGAGATTCTGGCTCCCTTGCTGCGCCACGGGAAACCCCACGGCCCGAGCCACCTGGGGCGGCCGCTGTGCTCACGGGCTCACCAAGCAATGAAACAAAAGTCACCAGCGCCCATGGGTGGGGGGCCACGCCAGCATGGTGTCCCTGGTGAAGCCCCGTGGGGGGCACAGGATGGTGTCCGAGAGCCTGCTCTCAGCCCTCTCGGCTCAGGGGTCTCTGCTAACATCCCCGGGGGCGGCCCCATTCCTCTCGGATCTGGGCTTCTGTTTCTTTTTTTAATGTAGCCCCTACTTTTTATATACATATCCATTCTATAACAATATCTCCACCTGTATTTCACATGTAATCTAAAATATATACGCATATGTAATAATGTAGACATCAAATATAAACACATATATACTGTCAGTTCCCACTCTGTGGCAGACACGCTCTCTATATACTGTAACCTTTGACCCTCACCGTAACGCCTTGAGGCAAAGTTCGTTCCCCTGATTCTTCCTCATGAGGCACTTTGTCTGAGAGGGTACGGAAATTTGCACAGCATCTCAGGGAAGTGGGGGAGAAGGCCCTGGACCCCGTGGCTGGCCCAGAAGCCCGCATGATCTGCTTCCAGGGCCACACCCTGAACACGGGAGGACGTCCCAGCAGAGCCCCGGAGTCCCCCCGGCACGTTCCAGCCTGTAGGAACCAGCAGCAGCCCAACCGCATTCTTCGTTTTTTTATTTGTTTGCCTGCCTTGAGCTCCGAGTGCCAGGGCTTAGCCTTCCCTAGAGGAGCCCCTGGCGCGCCTTCCTCGTCCCCGTGGCCTCCCCGGGGCCCAACCCCGGCCCCTTACAGGTGACTTCGGTGGGTGCAGCAGGGCGCCTGGGGCTGCCCGTCTCCCAGGAGGACATCCAGCCACTCCTCCAGGTCCCGTACCAGCTGCTCCAGCTCGCACACCTCTTTCTCAAGCTTTTCCAAGAAAACTCGCACGTTCTCCTTGAACCAGGTCCTGATGACCCTTATCGGCTCTTTCAAGGGATCGCTGGTCTGGTATTCAAACCCCTGAAAGGCAGACACTGGAAGTTACATTTTGACGTAGGACCCCTTGGGCCACTGGTTTCCAAAAGTTCCGTCTTTGCATGTGCTACTCCTTCTGCGTGGAATACGCTCCCACAGCTCCTCCGTAGCCTTCAAGACCCAGCTTGCCAGTGACACCTTCAGGAAGCCTTCCCAGGTTTCCTGAGCCGCACTTGACACCCCTTCGGTCTCTTCCTGATCATATTACCTGGGAAGCCACAGGATTCTGGGGACAGCTGCACTCTTTGAACTTTTCTGACATCTCCCAGCTTCTTCCTGGAATGGGCACAAAGCCTCCTCTTACTGAGGGCAAAGGATGGCGGTTGACATAAATGTGGAAGGTCATCCCGGTGGGACGCAGGGCGGTGGGAGAGGGCAAACCTGGAGACCACGTTGGAGTGCAGCCACCTCCTGACTCTGCGTGCACCCGGCTTCTCCTCTCTCAGATTCCAGAAAGCTCACCTGATATCCCTGCGCCCATGTACAGCACCAAGACCAGCAATGCCAACAGCGTCTGGGGGCAAGAAGAGAGGAGGGAGGGGGTGATTGCTGGAGGGCAGGTGGGTGTCTGCCTCTCTGGAGCATGGGGCAGCGACGAGATTGTGCTCAGAGCTCAGCTTGTTCCTAACTAGATATCTAAGTCCCACGCTTACCATAGAGCCTGCAGACATTGCGGAAAGATACCGTGGCAGCTGACTGACATCTCACTGGGGCGTTCCTCTCTTCTCCCCCTTGAGAGCGAAGACCCAGCTCCGCTCTCATTCCTTGCCTCACTATTCCATGCTTTGTTTGGAAGGATCTTGAAAAGGAATCACCTTAATTGTGGTGTAATTTACACACAATCGAAGGCACGCATTTTCAATGTACAGGTTGATGAGTTTTGACAAATGTCTATACCTGCGGACTCCCAGCCCAATCAAGGTATAGAGCATTTCCATTATTCTAGAAAGGTCCCTTATGCCTTTTTGCAGGCAGCTCCCTCCCTCCCCTGGCACAGGGAATTCAGACACACCTGCTTTCAACAGACAAGGGGAGTTGAGACGGTGACGGTGTTAGGGCAAGGCAGACGCGACACCGACCGACACCGAATTCTCCCCAGACTCCCTAGATGTGGACGGAGCCAGATTTAATTTGACTTGAAAGCAAACATTTCTTCCACAGCTGAGTTTGTAAAGCGAGACTTAGACCTGCTGCCACAACAAAGAAGATAAAAGATTGGCATAATTTACCTCCCCCTAGGTAGTCTTCTTTATATAGGCTAGCAGCTATATTCTTATTAGTAACTTCAAAACTAAAAATACATTACATTGCTTACAATCTGGCTGGGTCTCGCAGACACACCGATGAGTGAAAGAAGCCAGACCCAAAGGTGCACACTGATTTCATTCCCATGAAATTATAGAACATACACAACTCATCTGTGATGATAGAAATCAGAGCCGTGGTTACGGGTGGGGTGTAAGCTGGGAGGGGGCCTGAAGGAGCTATCTGGGGTACCAGAATGTTCCGTAGCTTCACCTGGGTAGTGGCTGCCCGGGTGCGTACATCCAACGTGACAATCATTGCACTGTACGCTAAAGATAAGGGTGCTTTTTATTTTCATCACAGTGTTCCCTGGGGGTCTGTTCCTGTAAGACACTCAGAACTATGCTCGTCTTCATAATGGCTGAGGAGGGGTCTGAATGCTCTTCTGTTTCTTTAACCATGCCGCTGGCCATGTGCTTCACAGGTTGATTTTTTCCCCACCAGGCTGTTCAAAGCTCAGTTTCTATTTTGTGTCCTGTGGAGGCAAATTGGGGGCGGGGGGACGGTGAGGAATAGGGACTAGGATTAAGTTTTTGTCTTTCTCTTTGCTCTGTCTTGAGCCTGAGCCAAATCATTGCTTCTCTCGGAGCCTCAGTTTCTTCATCTGCAAAATGGAGTTCGAAATCTACCTCTTTCAAAAAGGAGGGTGGGACTTGGACGTGGGAAGCGCGCTGGTAAGCGAAATTAGGCGGATGTCCTCGCTGCAGGACTTCTCAGCCTTCGCCGTGCGGCTGAGCGGCGTGCCACCCCACGAGGGGCCGAGGGCGTTGGCGTTCCCCAAACCGCGGAACTCGTTTCATGCTTTCTCGAAAAGGAACGTTCCCAGGGTTCAGTATTCGGGGAGAGTTTTTGGGAAAAGCTACGCACGGTGTGAGGGAAACCCCCCAGCCCCCCACCTGCTGTAAGGACCAGCGTAAAGGCGACACCGGCACCTGCATATTAAGTGAACAAGTGAACAAATCTTTTGAAAACATTTATAGATCAATCATGCGTTGCTCTGTTGAAAACCTTTCAGTGGTTTCTTGTTAATCTCAATAAAATCCCGTCCAGTCCATGGTGTGTGAGGCGCGGCTGACATTCCAGCCTCCTTTATGTCCCTCCCTCACTCCCCCCACCCCGCCTCCGTCCCCGCGCCCGCCCCTGGTACCACCCCCCACCCCTTTCCGGGAGGCGGCGGCCTGCAGGGTAATCTTGCTGAGGGTTCCGGAATCAGACCTGGTTTCAGATTCCAGCATGTCCTGTCTGTATGGCCTTTTTTGCCTTTCTGAGCCTCAGTTTACCCATCTGTAAATGAGGTTTACAATGGCTGCCTCTCAGGAATGGTGTAAAACATCATGAGAGAGGCAGGAGGTAGAAGCGCCAGACTGTGGACAATGTTAGCGGTATTTATTTCAACAAAAACCCCAGGTGAGGTGTGAATTTCAGTCCTACGAACAAACACTCCAAGAGCTCTCCAATCGGGGTGTACTGTCCTGTTTGTTTCAGTTCGTTCATTCATTCATCGACTCATGCAGCACTTAGCACCAGGCACCATTCCCGGCAGTGGGGATATGGCAGGAAACCCCAGCTCCCCGGGTGCAGCCTCTGCCGGCTGTGCCACTCCACCAAGTCGGGCTCGGGGGCGTGTCAAGCCAGCAGCCTGTTCCTGACTTCAAGGGCCCGCCAGTCTGTCTGGGAGCCCAGGCGGGAGGAAAGCTGGGGGTACCTGCTCTGGTCTCACCTGCTTCTTGTCCTCACAGCGACTGCCCCTTCTCTGTTCGAACAGCTCAGCTGCCACTTGGCCCCTGCTACCCTCCTGCCGGAGCGCCATGGCCTCAGGTCAGGCGGCCTGGGGAGCACAAGGTATCCTCACCTGATCTGCCCACCAGGCAGATACGCACCCTCCCCCGATCCGCTGGTCACCAGGCATCCCTCAAGCAGTGGGTTCTGATGTCACAGAAGGTGGGGCACAGCGAGGCCCCCGCCTTGTCCCCACCCTGAGTTTTAGTCCTGTCCCTCACATTGTTTCTTGTAAATGTCAAACGCACGCCAGGAAGAAATGCATCAGAAGATTGTATTTCAAGGTGACGATTCTTCTGATCGTATTTCCCTATTTTTCAGGCGTTTAGTAAAATGTGAGTTTTTAAATACAAAACAACGAAAGCTATTTTTCATTGCAATGTTTATAGATACAATTGTAGACTCACACGAGTAGTAAGAAAAAATCATAGGAGATCTTGTGTGGTCTTCACTCACTTCTCTCCAAGGGAAGCGTCAGTGGGGCGAGCGTCTCAGCCAGGACGTTGCCACTGATGCAGCCTATTGATCTTGTTCAGAGCTGTTGCACTCATTTGTGTGCGTGTGTGTATTTAATTCCGGGTAATTTCATCATTCAAGATACAGTTCCAAAACCAGAGGTCCTTGTGTGGCCCCTTAATGCCCGCCACCTCCCTCTGTCCCCGTCCCCCACTGTGCCTAACTCCTGGAAACCACTTATCTGGTCTCCATTTCTAAACTTTTATTTTCTCAAAAATGTCATTCTCAATGGAATCAAATAGGGCGTGACCTTCGGAGATCAGCAGTTTTTAACTTAGAATTCCCTGGTGATCCATCCAGACCGTTGACGCCTCTGTAGTCTGCTCCTCTTCACTGCTGCATAGTATTCCGTGGCACGTATGTCCCGTAGTTTGTCCAAGGATCCACCCACTGAAGGACAGCTGGCTGTTCCTGTTTTGGGCTATTACAGATAAAGCTGATATGGATGTTCTTACACAGGACTTGGTATGAACCGGAGTTTTCATTTCTCTGAGATGTCTAAGAAGGCAACTGCTGGCTGGTATGGTAATTGCACAATAGTTTGGTAGGAAGCATTGTGTTTCAGAATGGCTGTACCATTTTGCATTCCCATCAGCTGCATATGAGTGATTTGGTTTCTCTTCATCCTCAACAGCCCTTGGTGTTTTCATTATTTTTTATATTAGATATTAAACAAATTTGAAAAAAAATTTAGAGAGAGGGAAGGGCAGGAGAAAGACAGGGACAGAAACATCCATGTGAGAGAGAAACATCCATCGGTTGACTCTCGTATGAGCCTGACTGGGGACCAAACCCACAACTCAGGCTGGGAATCGAACCAGCAACCTTTCACTTTGCAGGATGATCCCCAACCAGTGAGCCACACTGATTAGGGCAGATTTTTCTCTTATGTTACAGAAGTGTTATAGTGTTATGCTTTACAATCCAGTCCATGATCTGTTTGGAGTTAATTTCTGTATAAGGTGTGAGGTTTGGATTAAGGGTCTTTTTTTTTTTTGGCGGGCGGGGGTGGGGGAGGGGGGCCTTTAGCCCTCCAGCGGCTCCAGCACCATTTGCTGAGAACTCTGTCCTTCCTCCTTTGAGCTGCCTTTGCACCTTTGGCAAATCGAGCCTACTTGTGTGGGTTTACTTAGTGGGCACCTACGCTGTTTCACTGACGTGTGCCTTTATCGCTGCACCGGTAATAGGTCGTTGAGAGTCGGGTTTGTTTTGCTGTCCATTGCCTCACGAATGCCCACCAGGCCACCTGCTCCATCCTAAATGTTCAGTAAAAATATTTGTTGAATGGATGAATAATAAGCAGCTTCAAACTGTGGGTTCTGAGAGTCCGTGAACTCTGTCTGGTTAACACACTTTTGTGTTCACAGTCCTTGGCTCAGGAACTATTTGCTGAATGAGTAAAGCAGGTGGTACGGTTTTAATTTTACCAGGGAAGACGCCGAGGCCCGGGGAGGCAGAAGAAGGACGTGCGCCCCCGCGGCTGCCGTGCGCGGAACCGGGCCCCGCGCTGACTGCTCTCCATCCGTTATCTCACTTGATCTCCCGGCAGCCCCGTGAGAGCCTCTCCGTCCCCACGTTCCTCTCTTTGTTCAAGGTCAGACACCTCCCAGGGGTCTGAGTACAGGTGCATTGTACTCCGAAGTCTTTCAGTTTACCCCAAGGAGTTAATGCAATTTCAGCCAAAAGCAAAGAAAGTTGCCATTCTTGTTCTCTTTGGTGGCTTTGTCATAGATGTAAGATGCCCATTAAACGTCTTGAAAAGTAGCGACAGCCCCTCCCCCGCTCCAGCTTCATGACTGCGCCAGCTTGGCACCCTGGGGTTTCACACAATCCTCCCTTCTTCTCCTCCCTCCTTTCCCTGCTTGCCCTTAATATGATCGTCATCCACAGCTAAGGTAGTTCAAGAAATGACCAAGTCCCCGGCACTCTGTGAAGTGCTTCATACATGTCGGCTCATTGTATTATTACGGCTCTAGGTGGTAAATGATATCTACCATCTTAGAGATGAGAAGACTCGAGTTCGTGCACCCTGGCTCAGTGACTCCCCTGAGGCCATGCAGCTGGTCAGGGCTGAGAGCTGGACTCGGCCGGGTCGGGCCCCAGCACCCAGGCCCGGCTTGCCAAGCGACACTCGCCTTTTCCATGGGAAAGCTCAAGGCCAGGAAGGGAGAGGGGCCAGCTGAAGTCAGCTGGGGCGACGGCACCAGAGCTCGTCTCTTGCTTCCACCTGGGGGGGTCTTCAAACGTCCACCTGCGCCATCCCCATGGTCTTGCACGTATTACTGGCCTGTTGGACTTTATGTGGCAGAAATATCAACTACAGATGGACACTCCAGGACCACCCATCACACTAATTATGGGCATCGAAAGTGACGAGTTGCAGTCATGGAAAGAGAGGACAACCAGAAACATTTTCGGGGAAGCCCAATGCATTCTTCCAGGAACATGCTCTGAAGAGTAGTGACGAGTAGGGGAGCTTCTGGGATTAGCTCTGAGGGCCATTTTCTGGAAATTCAGCCCCAGGACAGGGAAGAGAGGAAAGAGGGGGAAGCTGATGTGGGCGGCAGGCTGTGGGAGGGTCCGCAATGTGCCGGTTGCCCCCCTCCCCACCTCCCACCAGCTCCCTGCCTGTGGTCTGATGGGAGGAAGACTCGGATTTGTCACAAGCATTGCAAACGCAGGTGGGTCGCGGTCCTGCACACTTAATAAAGTGAGAGGTCTGGGCTGAGTGTGCAACGCAAAGATCTGGTGGAAACAAATGATAAGGTGCAGGTCGACACGGGCCAGCCAATTCTAGCAGCTGTTGCCATAAAAATGTGCGGTCCAGCCTTGCGAAGTCTTACGAATATTTTCAAGAAAAGCTAGGAATTCAGTCTTGGGTGTACAATCTCCTGACTTGTAAATGTTGGTGACAAATTCAAGTTTAGGGGGAAAAAAAATAACACCATGAGAGCAAAATGCAGGCCATTGGTTTGTGAGCTCTCTGATTTATTGTGTGTCTGTCGGGTCTAAATGTGGTGTGTCCCTGAGCCTCATAACAGTTTTGCCATGTGGGGTTCTTACCTGCAGTGGCAAACAGCGGAAGCCCGAGTGGCTAACTATAATCCGCAAAGGCAGATTCTGGAGGGATGTCCAAAGGTGGCTCCTGAAGTTGGCAGAGAGGCTGAAGGTCTGGGGCGAGAAACAGGTGCTGGAACTACAGGCCCAGGCATATCACAGGGTCAGTCTGAACCCAGAACTGTACATGGGGCAGATGTAAGCTCTGCTGGGTGGATTCCAGCACCACGGAGAAACTCGAAAGTCTCTTGGTGTCTGCATTGTTGCCTAGGGCTTCTGTAACAAACTGTTACAAACTGGGTAGTTTAAAACAACAGAAATTAATTTTCTCACAGTTCTGGAGACCAGGAGTCCCACGTCAGTGTTGCTGGGCTGAAATCAAGAGACCAGCCTGGCTGCCTTCCCCCGGAGGCCCCAGGGGAGAATCTGTGCCTTGGCTGAGCCAGCAGTCCTTGGCTTGGGGCCGCATCACGCCAGGCGCTGCCTCTGTGGTCGCATTGCCTTCTCCTCTGTGTGTATGAATCCTGCCTCCTAACAGGGATATGTGGATTGCCTTGGGGTGCACTCAGGCAGTCCGGGATGATAGCCTCATCTCAGAATTCTGAACGACCTCTGCAAAGTCCTCTTCTGCCACAGAAAGTGACATTCACAGGTCCCAGGGATTAGGATGTGGCTCTCGCTGGGGGACTTTCCCCAGCCCGCCACAGTGTCTTTGGGTCACTGAAGATTCAAAGCTCTGGGCAGGAGCAACTGCAAGGCTGGGTTTTGTCACAGGCCTGGCGCCTGGCTGCCAGGAGGTGGGGACGAGGATCGGGGCTGCTTCTGTGTCTGCAGTGAGAGGCAGGGCTGTGCCACACCCCCGCCCCGGACGCACATCAGTAGCGATCGCTGCAGGGAGAGAGGGATGGGGCATGCAGACCAAACCACCGCTCGCTGGCCCTGGAGATGAAGACCCAGCTCTGATGCACTGGGACGTGCCTGAGCTCTCAGCACCACGAGGACAGGGACGATTGCCCTGCCGTCCTCTGTGGCATTCCCACAACTTTGCACCACGCCTGGCACTTAGTAGGTGCTCGGTGTCTGTTCACAGTGTGCAGCCTCCCAAGGCTGTGTCCCCTCCCTGCTCCTGCTACTGCAGCAACTTGTCCCTGGGATGCCAGACGAGCGAGGGGGCAAATGTACGCATTTACATATGGCCTTGGCATGTGCCTGCTGCTGGGGGCGAGAGCCACACCAGAAATACCCACCGCCATGCCCCATTAACCAGAGGGCTAAGAGAACTGTGAACAGTGGACCAGAAGGGGGGGAAAACCGGGATTAATTTATGAGGCGTTCCGCTACCTGGATGGCTCATTGCATACCCGTTTTGGCAACGCCACTCGTAATGTGCTTCTAGACTTACTGTACTTCAACATCCCGGGGCCCTTTTGTAATATGCCAAATATTCCGCCGTTATTG